ATGCTGTTCCCTCTGCCTGGAATGCTGTTCCCTCAGATACCTACATGGCTCCCTCTTTCCCCTTCTTTAGGACTTTGTTACCCTCCGCAGAAGTGATAAACCTGTTTTTTTTTAATTAGTCATGTTTATTGTCTGTAATTTCACTGGGGAATGCAAACTCCAGAGGACAAGGATTAGAATTAGAATATTGGCTGGTATTTTTGTGAGCAGGTAACATTTCTTCTTGCCCCCTCCTCTGCTTCCATCCTGGTCTGGCCCCCTCATTGCGCATCTGGATCAGTAGAGTTGCTTCTGCCTTGGTCCTCCCACAGCCTCCCCCCAGTCTGTTCTCCTTGCAGCAGCCAGAGGGCACCAGTGAGCACCTGAGTCAGGTCCTGTTCCTTCTCTGTCCACAGCCCTCCAGGATTCCCACCTCCCCGGGATAAAAGCCCAAATCTTCCCTACAGCCTACAAGGCCCTGCACGACCTGCCCCCATCTCCTCCCTGCCCTCCCCTCCTCCCTCTCTCCCCTTCCCTCACTCTGCTCCAGCCACATGGGCCTCCTCACTGTTCCTCCAACACACCAGGCCTGGTCCTGCCCCAGGGCCTTTGCACGTGCTGTGCCCTCTGCCTGGAATGCTCTAACCCCAGGTACTCCCCTGATTGACTCTTCAGGTCTCTGTTCAATGTCACCTCCTCTGAGAGAATAGGATTTGAATTGGGTGGTCTGGCTCCTGAGTCCACACTTTTCTACCACCTCCCCTGCCTCACCTACCAGAGGCCACAGAATCTTTTTGGCCTGACTGGAGCCACCCATAATCATCCTAGAATCCCTCACATCTCTTGGTCAACCTCATTTAGTCTTTCCATAGCCACTTCCTGAGGATCTATTGTGCGTCATACCCACACATGACCATCATTATCTTCCTGAATCTTTGCAAAGAGCAGAGAGGGGAAGTCACTCGTCCAAGGTCACATAGCTTGTCCCGTCAATCCCTAGACTCCAGAGTAAACTACTGTGTACTAGGAGGAGGGGCCTGGGGGAGGGGGAGCCTGGGGCCTGATGTCAGGTGGGGATGTGCAGTTAGCTTGACCTAGAGGTACCAGGAAATGTTTCCTACACGGTTGTTCAGAGTGTGCAGGCCCCTTCAATCTGAGGGCTGCAAATGTGCCCACTGTCTTCACATATGCTGTTCCTTCTGTCTTACACACCTTTCCTCCCTTCATTGCCTTTTGGTCAACCCCAGTCCTATTCATCTTTTAGGCTGCAGACATTAAGAGTGACAATGATAATAAAAATGACAACAGAACATCAAATGCTTAGTTATCTTTTCCTCTGTGCTAGGCATTGTTCTGAGTTCTTTATACGTGTTAGTGGCTTTAAGTCTCACCATCCTGAAAAGTAAGTTTTTGTATAATCCCTGTTTGAAAGATGAGGAGACGGGCACAGAGAGATTGAAGGGCCTGTCCAAAATCACCAAGATGCCTCAATCAGTGGCTGAGTTTGACTTATTTCTCTTCTCTTCCCAGCTCCCTCCACCAGCTTGGGGGTGGGGGCAGAGAGCTTTATCTGTTTTATTCTTGGCTATATTCCCAGGGGGCACAGTAGGGCCTGGTATGCAGTAGGTGCTAATAAGTGTTTGTCGACTGCATGATGTGGCAGAACAGGGATTTGAACACCGCAGTCTGGCTCAGGTCCATACTGTTAAATTAAAATGCTACCTTCTCCGGGAAGCCTTTCCTACCCTGCGCCTCCCCTGGATTCCCACAGTGGCCTGTGTATCCGCTTTCCCCACTGGCCTCTGGGTTCCTGAGTCTAGATGCTAGGTGAAGAATTTTCACCAAGCATGTGGAAGTGAAAGAATCTGGGGAGTGGGGGCTTCCCTGCCTGTGTCTCATGATGGTGACTCACCAAACACAAAGTTGTCAGGACGAAAGATCTGGCCGAAGGGACCTGAGCGGACAGAGTCCATGGTGCCCGGCTCGAGGTCCACCAGCACAGCTCTGGGGACGTAATTTCCTCCTGCAGAGAAGCAGATGGAGAGCAGCTTGGTCAGCACCAGGAGCCAGTATCCTGTCCCCTCCCAGGCCCTCGCCACCCCCACTCTGGCAGGTGCCCCCTGTCCCTTACCTGTGGCCTCATTGTAGTACACGTTGATTCTCTCCAGCTGCAGGTCACTGTCCCCATGGTATGTGCCAGTGGGATCGATGCCATGCTCATCACTGATCACCTCCCAAAACTGGGGGGGGAGGGCGGTGGTAAGGACCAAGAAGGTGGAGCCGGTGGCCAGGTCTGCCCCACCTCCATCTTCTGGGCTCAGGACCCCCACTCACCTCCCTAGCTGCCACCTGTCCCCCAGGCAAGGTGAGTGTGGAACCTAGAGGCAGAGTGGGCGGACGAGGATGAGGCAGCAAGAAGGGATCGGTGGGGGCGGGGTGGAGCAGACTCACCACCGCAGCCCAGCGGGCTGGGGTCAGCGCTCCCTGGCTGCTGCCGTGGGGAGGGGCGGGGTCTCTTTGTGCGTGTGGAGGGGACAGTGAGCCAGCTGTGAGGCCAGCTGTGGCAAGCGGACAGAAGCCTGGGCCCCACCCCCATGGGCCTCTTTGTTCCCAGCTTGGCCCTGCCCCCTGCGCCCTTCCCCACCGTCCCTGGGGTGCTGGCCTCCTGGGGGGCCCCGTTCCCCAAAAGGCCCATGGTGGAAGAGCTCTGCGGAGCTCGGTGGACCGCGCTCCGCATCTCTCGACCGCCTCCCCAGGCCCGGTCCCTCGCGTACCTTGGCTCCGATCTGGTTGCCGCACTGGCCGGCCTGCAGGTGCACGATCTCCCGCATGGCGGCGGCGCTGATGGTGGACACGGCGGCGCTGGTGCTGATGCTGGGAACTGCGGCAGCGAGGCGGGTGGTGGACGCGGCGGCGGCGGCGAAGCACGGTCCCTGCGCTCCCGGGGCGCCTCTATATGAGCGGGCGGGGCTCGCGTCACTGCAGGTCACCGGCCCGCTCCGCCCCCCGGTCCCGCCCCGGGACGGAGGGTGCGGGGATTGACGGATACCCCTCCCCTGCCGCCTGGAGACCTCTGGGGGCAGGGGCTGGGGCGAGCCGGGGCTCCGTGCGCCCCCCACCCCGGGCCGTGGCGGGGGGTGAAGCCTCTCAGGCACCAACAGTACCATCTTCCTCCATCCCACCCCTCCCGCCCCCAGCCAGGCCTGGCGACCCGGGTTTTGCAGGGATTGGGCGGGGGGAGGGAGAGCGCCCGGTAAACAAGCAGCCGGGAGATTCTGCCTCTCCCGGCTCTCGCCCCGAACGACCCTGCCTCAGTTTCTCCGTCCCAAGCCTCCCTCCCCATTCCGTTTAGTTCTCGTTCGCCAGACCCTCGCATTAACCGAGAGGGCTCCTAGTGGGGCCGTTCGCCAGACCCTGGCATTAACCGAGAGGGCTGCTAGTGGGGCCGAGCTGGCCGCTCCGGAGCAGCCGACAGTTTTGGGAGGAGGGGGCAGTCGGTTTCTGCAGGACTTGTCTTGAAGCTGGGTAGTAAGTAAAACCACGATTTCCCTTCCATGTTTGACTGCGGATGCTTTTGGAAGCTGATGGAGGTTTGGGGGGGACTGTTCGCTCCCCCTGGACACCTCGGTTGGGCTTTGGGTCTGTCGCAGGTGGGGTCACCCTCAGCCTTGTCTGGGGTCGAACATCAAAGATTAAGACTTATAGCTGGATTACATACTGCGGGGATAGAGGGCTTCCGGCGGGCTGCCTTACTCCCCCCAGATCGGCACCTCTCTGCTCCATTGTTATAATTTATTCCAATCCATCGTCCTGCCTTTGCATTTATTACTATTATGACCTTGCACAGGCCACTTGGCTTCCCCCTGGCTGAATTTCCTGCAAGATGGGGCTGTCAGGAACCCTCTAGGCGGTTGAGAGGGTCCAAAGATGGCCCAGTTAACAAGATGGCCCCGGTTTCCCCTCGCAGAGTAAACGATAAATTGTAGCTATTAGTATTACAATTATTATTGTAATACTGGGCAAGACTTCCTGTGCTGCCCCACAAGCGCAGGCCAGACTTCTTGGGGCCACTTTCTGCTGGCAGCCTCCGGCTCTGCCATCCCTGGAAGCCTCTCCCTCCTCCTCCACGGCTTCTGGCCACTGCGGGGTGGGGGTGGGATTAGCCAGGTCGGCTGAAGGGCTGGGACCTCACGCTCTCACCAGTGGCTTCCAATTTTGTGGTTCTCAACAGGGAGCGATTCTGCCCCGTAGGGACACTTGGCAGTGTCTGGAGATGTTTTTGGTTGTTATGCCTGGATGGGTGTGTGTGTGTGTTACTGGCATCTAGTGAGTGGATGTTGCTAAACATTCTAGGGTGCACAGGACAGTCTCCCCCTCCCCCCAAAGAATTATCTGGTCCAAATGTCAATAGTGCTCAAGGTTGAGAAACACTGTTATTTGAGAAAAACAAACAAACAAAAAACAACTGAGTTAGATCTTTAGGCTCACACTAGACACCCGAATAAACTCCTGATGGATCAGACAGTACAAACGAGGGTGACCCCCCTCCCCCTCCCCCCAGCAGCTGTGAATTACTTCCTCTCTCTGTGATTTAAACGTGTACAGCATCCTGGGACTTCAGGAGGTCAGATGATTATGGAGCACAGTCTCCTGGGGGTCAGCAGAATCCCCTAAGCCAGAAATTCTCAGCTGGCCGTGATTCTCCACCCCCCTGCCCCACCAACACACAGTGGAAACTTGACAATGTCTGGAGTCATTTTTGATCTTTACAACTTGGGGCTGTTATTGGCATCCATTGGGTGGAGCCTAGGGAGGCTGCTCAGCGTCCTACAGTGCACAGGGCTGGCCTCTGCAGCAAAGGATAATCTGGTCCCAAATGCCAATGGCAATAGCCAAGGTCGAGAAACCTGACTGAGACTTCTGAGGTTATCAAATGTTCTTACGGTTGATCCCCGAGACCCGGTTCCCGGATTGAAATAGGAAGTCCATCAACGCATGTTAATATCTGTCAAAAATTCATAAACCCTGTGTTGGCATTTTATTATTTAATATATCAAGAATCATCAAAACATAAAAGTGGAAGTGGCCCTGCTGGGAGGGGCTGATTTGGGGTTCAGCCCCAGAAAAATGGGGCTTCCTGTGTCACTCCACCAGGGCAAGGCTGATTTGGGGTCAGGGCTGAGCTCCAGGGAGGTGGGACTTCCTGGATTAGCCCACCTTGGTAGGGATAGCCCCCTGGAGAGCACAGGTTCTGGTGAGCAATGGGTGCCCTCTATCTTTCTCTGAATCGGGGCATCCTTTGGGTTCCCTGAGGGCCCTCAGGGGAGGAATACAGAGAGGGGAAATGAGGAGGAAAGTGGCGAGCAGGGGATGGGTGGTCTTCTAGCAGCTGGAGCTTCTGGGACTTGACATCACCCAAGATGTAGAAAGCCCGCAGGGATGAAGTGGGGAGGGGTAGGGGTGGGCTGACGTCACCTACACCCCAAGGCCACTCCCTCTTCAGTCTGGCCTCTCCCAGGCTCCCTTCCTGGGAGATGAGGAGTGCCAGGTGTACCCAATGGCTCTCGGGCAAGCAGAGCCTCCCTGGTACCCAGGTGCCCCACGGCATCACTCACCACCCAGAAAGCCATCAAAGCTCCCTGCAAGAATCCGAAGATGGCATCGTAGGGTTGGTGCCATGGTCCAAGACCCGGATGTAGCCAAGGACAAGAAAAGGAGCTGGATGGTGGGCCGTAAGAGCCAGATTTTCTGTCCCCAGGAACTGGCCTGTACCTAGAGCTGGAAGGCGGGTGGGCAGCGCCTTGAAACCCTGGGAGCAGGTATCCAGAGGGACTCCACCCGGCGGCTGCGTTTTTGTGCCCACCGGCCTGTCTGAGCCTGTCAATTTTATATGGAAATGGATTTCAGCCTCTAAAGAGGGTAGGGGCTGTGGCCCCCGAAACCATCATTGTAAGAGAACTTCATGCTATCAATATTGGGAGAATTGTTAGATGGTGAATGATTTCCCAAGAGTCAGATGAGGCCCTCCGGATACGCTCATACTGTGACCCGGCACTGCCACTTTCTGCCAGTGTCAGATCTCTAATCGAAGCAGGTTGGCCTCATCAGGGGGCCCTCAAAAGCAGAGTTTGGGCTCTTGCTTTTGAAATGGAAAACAGAAAAAAAAAAAGGTGGGGGAATTCCCCGAGACCCAGAACATTCTGTTCACAAAGTTGACCATTCGGTCCATAAAATCAGGGGAAGGCCCGACTTCTAGCTGTGTGTGGTCGGTCTGTGCACCTCCTGGCATTGTTGGCGTGCTCCCCTGAGATGGAGGGAGTCTGTTTTGCCTGCTATTAATGATAATAGTGACCTTTAGGGCAGATCCTGTTCTAAATACTTTGAGCGAGTCAGCTCATTTATGTGTTAACTCATGAAACCACAACCCTAGGGGGCAAGTGCTATTTCCACACCCATTTGACAGATGAGGAAATGGAGGCCCAAGGACATTGAGTGTCTCACGCAAGGTCACACACAGTTGAGGCTGGGAATGGAGCATGTACATTCCAGCTCCAAAGCCCTATCACTACAGGAGGCTGTAGTTACTTTGTCTATAAAAAAAAGGGGGGCCGGCTGGCAGTCGAATGGGCTGCCTTTCAGGAAGAAAACGTTGCTGGTGTGAAGGCAGCCGTGTAGCATCACGTGCACTGTGGCCAGGGCTTCTGTGTCGTTGTGTCTGCCCACCACGGTGCCCGGGTGCTCTGGGCTGGCTGCGATGTGTGCGATCCGCTTCTGCCAGCCGAGTCTATGCCTGTGGGTCATCGGCTCCTTCCCAGGGGTTCCCCCACCCCCCGCCCTGCTCCTCCTGCCACTTTATTACCCAAAACTTAGAGCTACACCTCAGCTGGGTCTGATTTCCCTTCCCCCTGCCCTTGGTGGAGCCCAGCCCTGGGCATGGACCCAGCCTGGCATGGGCCCTCTCCAGCTGCAGGGAGGGGGAGACAGAGGGTTCTGGAAGTTGCTGTTCTGGGACAGGGATGCTGAATGAGTCTTAAGAGAAGATGGGCCCTCCCCGTTCTCGCCCTCCTGACTCTGGGGGAACACACAAGCTCTATGGAAGCTGTGTCTGGCACTGCAGGCACCAAGCATGGGGTGGGGGCGGGCGGGGGGACAATGGAGTATTTTCTGGCCTTGCCGGGTGTGCAGCCCACCTCGGGCCAACACTCACCACCAAATACACCATGGAGTACATGCCGATGGAGGCGTCCACAGAATAGAAGGATTTCCTGGGGGACGGGCAGGGGCAGGGTGGACATCAGCTGGGGCTGGGGTGGGGTGGGGATGCCTCCTGGGTTCCCCTCCTTGACCGCCCACTCGCCTGACATCGAGGACGTCTTTGGGGTGCCCTGTGCAGGTGTAGTTGGTGACGTAGCCGCTCTCGAGGTCAAAGGAGGCTGGGTCGGGCAGGCACGTGGCCAGGAAGTGGGGCCGCAGGTGACCTGTGGTCATCTTGGCAATGCTGGTCGGGGAGCAGCTGGCCAGGCCGCCAAAAATGAAGGTGCCCAGCTGCTTGTAGATCATGGCCATGTAAGTGCCGCTCATGAAGGCTGACGAGCTCAGCTGCAAGAGCTTGACACGAATCAACTCTCCCAGGCTGATCTGTGGGGCCGTGTGAGAGGGGTGAGGGGTCACTGCTGAGGGCCGAGGGCGCAACAAGAGTGGGAAAACCCCAACCCTTTGTCTCAGACAGGTTCATATGGAAGGGAGGCTGTTCTTTCCCAGTAAACCAGGCAAAAGGGTGGGGCTTCTCATTCCATCCCACACACACACACAGATGGGTGACTTCTCCCACCCTTGTGCCTGAAATGGGCAGGACTTCCTAAGCCAATAAGGCTTCCCATATCATCAAGAAAAGGGGGGGGTGTCCCTTAACTGAAAAGGGCGGGACTTCCTGTTATACCAGGAAAAGAGGCGGGGCATCTCCCTAGTTTATGTCAGACATAGGTAGGATTTCCTGTCCCATATCTGAAAGGGGCGGGACTTCCTGTTATACCAGGAAAAGAGGTGGGTCATCTCCCTAGTTTATGTCAGACATAGGCAGGATTTCCCGTCTCATATATGAAAGGGGTGGGGCTTCCTGTTATACCAGGAAAAAAGGATAGACTTCCTCCCAAATGCCTGAAAATGATGGAACTTCCCTTGTCACTGGGAGAAAGAGGCAGGATGTTCCATGTTTGAAAGGGGGAGATTTCCCAGATCCCCAGAAAAGGGGCAGGACTGCTTCCTGCCTTCTGCATATAAGGAATGGGGCTTCCCTGTCCACTGGGGGGCAGGGGCTGAACTTCTTGTCCCATACCTAAGGCAGAGAGGTGGGTGTTTCCTCTATATTATGTCAAAAGTGGGGGGGCTAACATTTTCCTCAAGGAAAGGAGTTTTATGCCATCGAGCAGTGAGATTTCCCATTTCAGTAGGAAAAGAGGTGGTACTTCCTCCTGCCTTAGATCTATAATGGGTGGGGGTTTCCACTTTGCCAGAAAAACAGGTGAACTTTCCCATGTTGTGTCACCATGGCCTGAGGTGAAAGTGGCCACCCTCTTACCGTGAAGATGGAGATGAAGAAGCCCATCTTTATGAGTGCCGAGTCTTCGATGATGTAATGGGCCACTCGGGGGTATTGGATGGTGGTGTCATTGCAAAAGAAGCCCTGGATGTGGGGTACCAGCAAACCGGTCTCATTCAGCACGATGGGGAGACTGACTGCAGGGGGTGGAGATGACCCCACTCATGGATGGGTCAACTGAGGTTTACCCTCCTTAGGCCTTCCGGCCAGTCTGTCCTCCCGGCATCTCCACAGGCTGGACGTGGGGACGTGCGTAGAGAGCACAGTATGGCCAGGAGGCCAGAGGAGGCCAGAGCCCCAGGGACCCATTCACTGGTGGGGTCCTGTGAATGAGATGGGTGAGGGGTTAATATAAGGAGGGGATAAGTGTGGAAGGGCTTGCTCTTTCTGTATGTGTGTGTGTCCTGATGTATGTGTGTATGATTGTGGCTCTGCGTGCCTGTGTGTGAATGTGTGTGTGTGTTGATGGGTATCTATGTCTATGACATGCGTATGTGGTGTGAATAGGTGTCTGTGGTACACATGGGTACATGTCTGAGTGTGTGTGCTCCTCTCTGCAATGTGTGTGTGTATGTGCGTGTGTGTGTGTGTGTGTGAGAGAGAGCGAGAGAGAGCGATTATGCATTGTGTCCACGGATGTGTGTGTTGTGTTGGTGTGTGTGTGTGCTTGTATCTGGGATCTGTGTATGTGTTCATGTCTATATCCATGGCTCTGTGGCTGATTGAGCTGGGAGGGGAGATACTGGTGGCAAAGTTGTGTGTGAGCAGTGTCCAGGGCCCCTCACCTGACACTGCCATCCTGAATTCAGACAGACCAAGGGGCTTCTCTCCAGCAGGTGCCAGGCTCTCTGTCTGGCCCACTCATCCTCAAAGCCTACACCCAGGCCTCCCTCCACTGTCTTGACCCTGTCATCCTGTCACCCACTGAAGTTTAGTGGAGCCAGGCAGCTGGAACCCAGCCTCCCACAGTCCCCAGCTCCCTTACTGGGCTGGGAGGGCAAAGCTAGTATCCCAGCCTGGCCTCTCCTCCCCAGTGAGGAGGTTTTGGTCACTAGCTCTGCCCACCGGGGAATGGGGGGGGGCGGCCCTGGCATATGCCAGCCACACATCTAGACCCCAAGCAAGCTCAGGCCACGCAGATTCCCAAACACACAGGGTCTGACATGCACAATTATACAATACAACCACACAGTCTGACCCAGACACCCAGATTCAGATGTACACACACAGACATATAATGCAACAATATACCCACAATACACATAGGCCCTTATAGACCCCCACACACACCCAGCTACACAAATACCATTGGATCTGCCCCCAGCCCAGATGCACAGTCACGGGCTCCCATAGATCAAGTGCATGCATAGGAGTCACCCACAATGAACACACCCCCCGAAAACCAATGCAACACCCCCGAAAACCAATGCAACACACAACACAGCAACACAACATGCAACCCAGAGACCCGAAGGGACACCCACACACCCACACACACACGTGTGCATGAGCATACATACACAGAATCATACTCATTCACATGGATATAAGTTCAACACAGACCAGCCCCAGACATACGGACAGACCCAGGGGCTTGCACACAACATACACAGTCAAACATACACAGAGATACACAATACAAACATACCTCCCCCACTATAGACACATAGACTCAGATCCACAACTCAAAGAGACATGCAGCAAATAAAATCATACGAAAGGCTGAAAAAAAAAAAAAAAGATGCACAGCCAGATGCTCACCCAGCACCCAGACCCAGGAAGACAGGTAAACACACAAAGCCACGCTTGTGGAGAGTCCCTATCGTCCCCATTCACACGGACACACATTGACCCAGACATCCCGGAAACATGTTGATGAACACACCGATGTGAAGACACACAGCCCAAGTACACACACCAGGGCAGGCAGCCAGCCCCCAATCTAGCGACACTCAGATAAAGACAGGAAGACAGACCCCTCCGCTGCCCCTTGGGTGTCCGCATGGTGGTGGTGCGGGGTGCTCAAGGACGCTGGGGAGGGGGCTCACCCGGCAGCAGACAGAACAAATCCAAAGCCACCAACAGCTTGGCGGTCCAGCAGTGTGGCAGCAGATGGCACGTGGGTGGTTCTCCGCGGGTCCCCCGGCCACAGGCACTGGTACCGGACCACCAGCTCGGGCAAGGCCAAGACAGTATGTGGTAAGCTTATCGACTGTGGGGGGCGAAGGGGTGGGCACGCCCACCCAGACTGGGATTAGAGCTCGAGAGTCGGGCCGGATACAGCGGGGAGAGGCTGGCCTGAATGGTGAAGACCAAGGTGGGCAGGGGCGGGGTCCCATTGTAGGGCAGTAATTAGATGACCAAGGGGGCGTGGCCTTCCCGAGGACGGCCCTGGGGCCGGGGAAACTGAGGCCTGTCTGACTCCGTTAGCTAGGAGCCCCCATTCCATACAGGGACTTGACTGATTTGGGGTAAGGTCTTGAAAGCGTGGGTGAGGTCTGGAAGAAGGTAGAGAGGAACAAAATGGGCGGGGCCTAAATGCTCAGACAAAATGCTCAGAGACCCGCAGGCTGTGGTGTCCCCAGGGAAGTTCATTCTAAGGATGGGGATGGTTCGAAGGCCTGGACTGGGAAGGGGGCAGGGAGTTCTGGAAAAGTGTAACCCAGGGCAGGGCCGAGGATTTCAGATAGGAGACAATAGAAGGGCAGAGACGGGGGAGAGGATGGTGCAGGACGAAGAAAAGTAGAAAAGTGGGTGGGGTAGGAAGGTGGGCAAGGCCTGGAAGGTTGCTGTCTGAGAAGTGGGCGGAGCCTAGGGAGAATGATGGGAAAGTGGGCGAGACTGGGGGTGGGCAGGGCTTGAGACAATGATGGCTAGGAAGTGGGAGGGGCCTGGGAGAATGACATAGAAGTGGGAGGGGCTGATGAGAGGGCAGGGCTTGGGAGATTGGGATCAACTCTGGGAGGGGCAAGCCCACCTTTTTCAGGGTTCCGCGGGTCAAAGTCATATCGGAGTTGACGAGAGTCCTCCTGGGCCAGCGGTCTCCGTGCTGGGCATTGCAGACCTTGGGCGATTCCCTGGTGGTCATTTTCGGGCTGAGAGCCAAGCTGGGTAGGCGGGTCCCTTCCATCTCTACCAACGGTTGCCCTGTCATGCCCCGCCCCGCCGAGAGCCCTCGCCGTTCCTCATTGGTCGGGCGCGGGCCAATGGGAATTCGCCGCCGGGCTTATCGCGTCTTGCACCGTTCCCGGAGCAGCACCCTCCCCTCGGGGACCCTGGATCGCACCGAGTGGGGACGGGTGAGGGTCTTCCATCCCACTCCTGCTTCCCACGCTCTGTTCCCTTGTCCAAGGCCGTCTGATCCCGCTCCGGCCGCCCGTGTCCCCGCTCCCCCGTTGCCACGCACCTTCCTCCGGGCTTTGCAGTCGATACCGAAGCACCTTTCCTTCCTTTCAGCCTAGACGCCCCCCTCCCAACGACCCATTCAGTGCAGCCCTGGACTGAGGCGCCCGGTCCACCAGGGGTCGCCCGCGGCCTACACTGGGTGTTGCTTCCAAGGAAAGGGACCCAGAGGTTCCTTAAGGGAGGGAGGGATAGGCCCCCAAAAGGAGGGCCTGGGTCCCCTCTGTAGGGGGTGGATCTTGGATGGCTCGAAGGGTGGGACCTGGATCTTCACTGGGGGCGGGGCCTGGGTTTCTTGTACTTTGTGTCTCTGCCAGTCTGTCCAGGTCAGCCGGTGTCAGTGTGTGACTGAGTGCCTTTGGTGGTCTCTGGGCATGTGATATTGTCTGTCTCTGAATGCATATCCCAGAGCCTTTGAGACCCTTCCAGGCTATGCGTTAGTGGGTATGTGTGATCATGGGCACGGATGTGTCCTTTTGTGTGCTTGTGGCCAGCTGATCTCGTGTACCTATGATTGCACCTCTGGGCGTGTCTTAGCAGGTGCCTGTGTGGTGTATGTCCACCACTGTTTTGGTATGTGTGTGATTGTGGGTCTGCGATTGTGTGTCCTGTATCTCTTGTGTCTCTGTGTGTGTCTGTGGCCAGCTTTGGTGGCTACTCTTGCGTATCTATGCTTATGTGTCTCAGTGTGTGTGTGTGTGTGTGAGTGTGTGTATGTCTGTGTGGTGTATTTGTGTGTCTGTCTCGGTTTGTGTGATTGTGTACCGCCTGAATGGGGGTGTCTTTTGTATACCGGTGTCTGTCTGGTGGCTGCCCCTCCGGGCCAGTTGGAGAGTCCCTTCCAGGTGGTAGCCCTGCTGGGGCTTCCTTCCTGGGGCAGGCTGGCTAGTTTCCCAGCAGAATGAGCCGGTTTTTCACAGACGGGGCCCCTCTGAGGGGTACCCAGGGCCCGCCCTGGTTTGCCTGGGTCTTCCCCATCCCTGTATCCTTCCACTGCCATTAGCAGGGAAACACCACTTCCTGCCTTTGATGTCACTGATGTTAAATTTTCCCTTCCTCCAAACAGCTAAGGCCACCGGTTTCTTTCTTTCTCTGCTTATTTTTTTCGCTTTAAAAAATTTTTGTGTGTGTGGCCACCGGTTTTTTTCTTTGTGTGCTCACACCTGACCACCATTCTGTATGTAACACACACACAAAAACCAAAACAAAGCAAACATGGAAAATGCAGGTGGGCGGAAGCTTGCATGAAAGGTCCACGATCTCTTTTTCAGATCACTCTCCTAAGTCCCCCTAGCTTTTTAATATATCTTCCAGATATGTGCTATGCAAATGTATCTTTGCTCTGAAACCAAATCCGCATTCTTTGTTTTTGTAGCCCTTAGAGATCTCTAATGAGCCCCAAAGAGATGACTCAACCTCCTCCACAGCTTGATTCCTGAACTGATTCTATGAGTGATAATCTGACCATTTCTCTTTCAATGACTCTTTCGGCTATTTCCGTTCAGAATACTTCCTGCCTGTTTTTGGCTCAGATGTCCACGCTTGTTTCTGGACCCTGGTGCTTCATCCATACGATCACACTCCTGCCTACAGTCATGCAGAGGCACCAGACGGTCAGCCCCACTGGCAGCAGTGATGACTAGTCCTGGAGAGCACCTACCGTATGCCAGGTGCTGTTCTGGCTCTCGATTCTGGACAGTAATCCTAGCAGGTGGTCCCTGTGTTAGCTCGACTTCTCAGATGGGAACCTCAAGGCAGAAAGGCGAAGGCATTTGCTCGAGATCATACAACTAGCAAGAGGTAGAGCTGGGATTTGAAGTTAAGTGGTTTGGACCTTGTGCTATTGTTGTTCCTCAACCAGAAGCAACGCTGGTGCACGCATGGGACCCCCCCCATCCCCCTTCCTGATCCCTGAACACGCATCACACTGGAAACGCACAATTCCAGAGTAGCTGGCTAAGCACCCCAACTCCACGAAGCCTAATTATGCCATCATGCCTTGTCGTGTTTACCCAATATCACAGGTGCACTCCTGTGCCAGGTCTGTGTTTCCCTGGCCTATCCAGGGCTGAGGAGACTTGGACCCAGCTTTTCCAGAGACCTGACTAACTTGGAGAACACAGTTCCCCTCTCTGCATCGATTTCCTCCTTCAACACATGTGGATACCCCCTCGGCTGGAGACCAACCTCGCTCAACCCTTCCCTTCTCTTTTCTCTTCTTTTCTTGGTTCACAGCCCCCCCATGGGGTCCCGTGCCCTTTCACTGTGCACTTACCCGGCAATCACTAAGTGTCTCTTTCAGGCTTTGCCTTTCCCCTGGGGGACGTGGAAGATCCACGCCAGTGGAAGGTTGACCCTGGGGGAGTCCACATACGGGATGGCGGGCAGTCGGGAACCCAGAGAGAAGGAGGTGAGTTTGCTAGGAAAAATCAAGGCAGACTTCTTGGAGGAGGTGCCTGTTCACTGGGCCTCCGAGAGGGAAGAAGGGTGCCACCCCCCAACTGCTTCCTGCCCAATCCCTCCTTTGAGCCCTATGATGGCAACAGTGAGAATTCAGGCCTTTCCCCTACAGGTGAGGAAAACCAGGGCCCACGCTCACCTCAGGGAGACAGCTGAGCACAGAGGTGCAACTGTACTAAACCGTGGGGTGCTAGGCAGCTGGTGCTGAGAGCTCCATAGTGGGCGGGGCTGCCTATCTCAGATGTCCCGACCACAACAATACGTCATGGCGCTCCCTGGCTGCGGCCTGAGCCTTCCCCAGGTTGCGGCCTGAGCCTTCCCCTGCCAGGCATTGTTTCCCCGCTCTGGAGGGGGTGTATAGAACTCTGCTAAGCCCCTCGGCATTGAGAGAGTTCAGAACAGTCACTGTCAGTCCTTGGATCGATGACTTCAACTTTTGGAGTCTTAGTGTTTTTACATCTGCTTATTGGAATTGTAGAAAAGCGTCAGTGACCCAGCTCACCTGGAATGAGCATTTGCCATGTGCCTGGCACTGCTCACAGCAAGCTCTCAGCTGCTCTTTGAGACCTACTCTTATTTCCATTTAGTAGATGTGAAAAGTGAGGCTCAGAGAGGTGAAGCAGCTTGCCCCAAATCACACAGCAAGAAATTTGAGGGCTAAAATTCAAGACTCTAGACAGGGGCAGCAAATTTTCCTCTGAAAGGGACCAGAGAGAGTAAGTATTTGGGGCTTTGTGGGCCAGACAATCTCTGTTGTAACTACTCCACTCTGCCATAAAGTTGCAAAAATCGCCACAGGCAATATGGAAACAAATGAGGGTGGCTGTGTGTCATACAGTTTTATTTGTGGACACTGAAATTTGAATTTCACATGATTTGCACATCAGGAAAGAGTCTTCTTTTGACTTTTCCCAGCTGCTTCAAAATGAAAATAATCAAAACATTCGGTGTCGGGCTGCAGTGTGTCCACCTCTAGAGCGCATGCTGGTAACTGCTATGCTCTACTGCGTTCATTTATTCATTCAATCAGTCAATACGATCGAGGCCTGCAATTTTCTAGCTTGGAAACAAGGCAGGTGGAGATACTCCTCTTTGGGAGATAACAGTTTCATGGGGGAAACAGCCATGAGTGAGCAAAAAATGAACAAGAATATCTCACATGGTGGAAACTGCTAGTAAGGTCATGTCACGGGGTGATGTAACCAGGGCCCGAGAGAGAGACACTTTCATTTGGGTTGTCCGAGATGTTGACTGGGAGTCCTCTGAATTCCTTTTTGTCAGCTCAGACAACCCTTGTCTGTGACATTGCTGTGGGGGAGGGCTTAATAATAAACATATTGGCCTGTGGCCTGTGAGCTTCTTGACAGAGCAATGGTATCTGGGGAGGGCTTTTTGGCCTCAGTATCTTTATATCTATCTTCCTGGTTGGTCAGATTCCTCAGGGAAAGGATCCCACCATCCCCATCTTTCAGATCCTGGCTGCTGAGTGGGGGGCAAGGGTCAAGGTGGGAAAGTTTCAAATCCTGCGTTCAAGTTCACACGTTTGTTTCACACATGCTTTTGGCATGATTCTTCTACCATCAGCTGCGTTCCTCCCACCAGAAACGCTGCCATATCCGCTGTCTGGAGGAAAAAACAAAAAACAAAAAACCCAAAACAGCTGCGGTTCCACCCTGAAGGGGAGCAGAGCTGATATCTCTTTTGGGAATTTACTTTAGACCAACACTTCGATTTTGGCTGTCACCCACCAGACTCTCTTTCGGAGTTGGGGGGGGCAGTCACCAATAACTGAGGCTTGAGACATGGTGCTGACTGTGGCATTTGGCTAGGGAAATTATATTTGGCATTCCACCCCGATGGCTTACAATTTTTGGTGTAGCTTTTAAAACAGTCGCTTATACTATCACTGCAGTGGGGTTTTGGGAGAGAGTGAAAGTAGGGGCCGGAGCTTAATTCATCCTCTTTACTCAGAAGGACAGCTGGCCGCAGATCTGGGGAAAGAACATTCCGGGCAGGGGGACAGCAGGTGTGAAGGAACAACCTTGGTACCATGCGGTGGATGCTCCAACTTGGGCAAGTGTCAGAATCTTCTGGAAGGCTCCTTCAGACACTGGTTGCAGGGCTTCCACTCCCAGAATGTCAGCAGGTCTCGGGTGAGGTGCTAGAATTTGCAGAGCTAGCAAGTTCCCAGGTGATGCTGGCCTGGGCCTCGTGCTTTATAAACCGCTGGTAAAACGGAAACGTTCAGCACCTG